TGAGGTACTTTTATGTCGCCGTGGGATAAAAATTTCCAGGCAGCTTCATACACAGATAAAAATCACTAAATCTCCAGAAGTATGTGGCTTTGGATAAAAAAATAAAAAACAAAATGATGATGAATAAATAAATTTCCAAAAGTACTCATATATGTAATGCTGAAAGAACAAATGTAGTTTTTTCCTTTTTATTTGTCTTATCTGTGTCATTTGACATATTTTTTTGAAAGGTTTACTTGAAAAGGAAATATAACGTTTGCAATTGTGAGGTCATTCCCTAAGAATAATTAAATCTATGTTAAATTTTTATGCTTCTCTTTTTAATTGAATCAATCAGGTGGTCTTGCTAAGCATTCAAAAGTAGCGCTGGTTTGAAGCTCATGTCTTTCCCATACCTTAGAATGAAATAATTGAGAGTGAACTATAATAGAATAGACTTTAAAGGCTCAAAAACAAAGTCATTCCCTCATTTCTAAGGGACAGTTTGGGGTAAAAAATTAATTGCCTTAGATTTGAGAATATAGAGTACATGGAAGTAATAAAGTAGGTAGTGGGAAAAAACTGGTAGAGATACAAAAGAGCAAAAGAGCAAGCAAACTGGTAGAGATACAAAAGAGCTTGAATGTCATCAAGCTGTGCTATAATTAACTTTTGGAAACTAGTTTATCACTTTTCTTCTTTTCACTACAGGTTTATGTTTGTGCTGTGTGCCAAAATGTTTTCTGTGTGGACTGTGATGTTTTTGTTCATGATTCTCTACACTGTTGCCCTGGCTGTATTCATAAGATTCCAGCTCCTTCAGGTGTTTGATTCCAGCATGTACTATACATTGTATGTGTTGAAAAGATATTTGTAACTGTGAATAAAATGACTTATTTAGAAGAAGCTTCATTTAAAACATGAAAGGATAATCTGACTTAAGAAACTTTTTGCTAAGAAAAGGTATTATTTTATTAAATTTTACATTTGTGTTCTGTCACAGAAATACCTGAAATTCAGTAGTACTTCATTCAATTAATTTTGTTTTCTATTATTTTGAGTTATACTGTTTTCAAAGTCATTATGCAGTATGTTATAACATTATGATATATAATAATTAAATTGAATTGATAAATTGTATTTATTTTTTATAATAAATACAGATATGATTTATGTTAATTCATTAATTTAGTGTAAGAAGAAAGTTAAGTCGAAATTGTAAATTCAGTGTAAGATCAAAATTTATCAATAGTTATGAAATTAGGCTGCGGCACTGTGGCTCAGGCCTATAATCCCAACACTTTGGGAGGCCAAAGTGGGCAGATCACCTGAGGTCCGGAGTTCGAGACCAGGCTGGCCAACATGGTGAAACCCTGTCACTACTAAAAAAACACACAAAAAAAATGCCGGCATGGTGGTCATGCCTTGTAGTCTCAGCTACTTGGGGAGGCTGAGCCAGGAGAATGCTTGAAACCCGGGAGGCAGAGGTTGCAAGGTGAGCTGGAGATGGTGCCATTGCACTCCATCCTAAAGTGAGACTCCATCTCAAAAAAAAAAAAAGTTATGAATTAATACATATGCAAATGATGTATCTGCCTAACATCCACCAGAGAGGTCTTTTTGGTTTAACAAACTATTGGAATATTGTGTTTATCAAGTTAGCTACAATCTGAAATTATTTGTGGCTATGACCAACAGAAGTCGACTTGTAGATTAAACATTCAGTACTCACAAGACTGCCATGGCCATACTTGGTACCCGCTTACTCAAAAGGATACTAAACAGAAACAACAGCCTGCCAGCACAGCATCAAGTGGTCCTCATTAGCAGTGGAAGTCTTTGTAGCAGTCCACTGTTACAGTTTAGGTGCAAGGAGATAAGATCCTCCACAGGCATCAAGGAACTAATATCTCTTAACAATTCCATAAACACAGCTTCCAGGGTATCCACAAGGGATGTGTCAATTTCATGAGTCACCACACTCAGGAAAGCCTAAAGCTTGAAGTCTCCATTAGATTATTTATAGTGCATCCCAATCTAGATACTGTAATAATTACGAGTTATTTTTACTATAAGCAAAGTTGCCTAAAATCATAGTTGATACTAACCATGGTTAACAGAGCTCTAAAAGTTTGACAGAAAGTGAGATTCAAATCCTTTCACTCTCATATGCTAAACCTTTTGCTTTACTCTGGGTCATCAGAGAAATTTAGGTGAGAATGTATGATGAAGTCTGTGTTTTAGGTTCAATGCAGATATATCATTATAGGCAGAACTCTTTTCTAGTTATACCCAGTTAAGAGTAAATCAGGCTTTCATAGCAAAGGTATGTCTATTTTATGTATAGAAACTTCAGGTACTCTAGATTGAGTTTCACTATGAAATTTGTGACTTTTTTTTTTTTTTTTTTGAGATGGAGTCTTGCTCCGTCACTCAGGCTGGAGTGCAGTGGCATGATCTTGGCTCACTGCAGCCTCCATCTCCCGGACTCAAGCAATTCTCCTGTCTCAGCCTCCTGAGTAGCTGGGACTACAGACGCCTGCCACCATGGCTGGCTGATTTTTGTATTTTTAGTAGAGATGGGGTTTCACCTTGTTGATCAGGCTGGTCTCCAACACCTGACCTCAGGTCATCCACCCACCTCGGCCACCGTGCCCAGCGGAAATCTGTGATTTTATAACTAACAATTTTTAGTTAAGAACATTATCAGTAAAGACAATGTAGTCCCACCCTGGAGAGTTTATTCAATAGATCTTCAGGGGAGCCCAGGAATATGCATCTTTAGTAAGTGTGTGTGCACATGCACACACATACACACACACACACAATGTGATTAGAGTAACAGGAGTTTCTCTCAGGAGTCATACTCCATGAGCCTAGACCCAGTGGTTCTTTAGGTGGACACAAATTTCAGCTATAGGTTACCTAGTAACTGCTATTTTCTTCCGTCTGCTCTGTCAACAAAGGTATCAGTGGCTTGCAGGAGATGCCTTTAATACTCTCAGAGCATTCTATCTCCCCCTATCTGATTTAGAAGGAAGGCCTTCATTAATTACCTATTGAAAAGTTACTAGAACTCTCTGTTAGAGACTCACCCTCTTGACCTGATAAAAAGGGATATCCATGTCTCTGTTAACAGCTTTATCTCTTTCTACAGTTTTGGGTATTTGATAAGGTTAAGACAAAATTTTGGTTATGCTTGAGGAGGAGTTCTTTTTTCACAATTACAGAGAAAATTTTGGTTTGTTGAATATTGCAGAAATAGAAATGGTAATGTAATACAGTTCTGGCCTTTAATTGTTTTCTTGAAACTCTATAGTATACTACAATATACAATATAGTGAAGGAAACTATTAACATGAGAGATCCTTCTGAATAGGATGTCTTTCTGAGTTCCACTATTCAGTTACAAAACTCCTTAATGCTTAAAATTCATTATGAAAATTAGATTTATTTTAAATACTTTCAAGTGTATATATTTTTATTTCATAATTTTTATTGTTTGTCTTTGAACTAAAGCATTTAGTTCATTTATATTTACTGTGTACATTTTATATTTAATAAACAAATATATTTATTTATTAAAAGATTACCACTGATATATTTGGGTTTAAATTTATTATCTTTGTGTTATTGGTTCCAACAATTCCATCTTTCCTTTTTTTTTTAGTTTTTTTGACTGCATATTTGACACTATCTTTTCCTTCCTGCCTTCGTTTTGATTACTTACTTTCTACCATTCTGTGTTTTCCCTCACTAGTTTGAAAATTGTATACTTAGTTTTTATTCTTTCAGTGGTTACCCTAGAAATTACAACAAACAAAAATTACAACAAGAAGAATTTCTTTTTTTTTCTTTTTTTTTTTTGAGACAGAGCTGGAGTGCAGTGGCACGATCTCGGCTCACTGCAAGTTCTGCCCTCCAGGTTCACGCCATTCTCCTGCCTCAGCCTCCCAAGTAACTGGGACTACAGGTGCCTGCCACCATGCCCGGCTAATTTTTTTGTATTTTTAGTGGAGACAGGGTTTCACTGTGTTAGCCAGGATGGTCTCGATCTCCTGACCTCGTGATCCACCTGCCTTGGCCTCCCAAAGTGCTGGGATTATAGGCATGAGCCACCACGCCTGGCCAACAACAATTTCTTAACTTAAGTCCCCTAGAAAGTAGAACCTGAGGCAAAGACGAAAGTATTGTTACTTTATTAGGAAGGGGCAGATCTAGGGGGGTGAGAGTGTGGAAGAAAAGGGAAAGCAAGGCAAGGAAAAACGTGATGCATTGCGTTACTGCAGTGGCTGGACTTCATGACAAGCTGTGACGAGATACAGGAGCCTCCCAGCAAGTGTGTTCACTTAGAGTGTGGGGCTTCTCCAGAAGGTTTATAAGGAGAAACTGCCCCTCTGAGCAGTCCATTGAAGGGAGGAGGGAGAAGTAACTTACTCTTCTTAAGTTCTTCCATTTCCCATTGATCCTAGTTTGCCCACAGGGCTGTGTCATATCCTTTGGTAACTGCTCAGGAAGCCAGATCTCGTGCTCAGTGGTGTGGCATTGCATCCGCCTCTAGAAGGATTTCTCAATACTTTATAACTTCCTCATCTTTGTGGTCATGTCTGTGTTCAGCTGTATCTCTAGAATGGCTGGCAAATTCATAGCATGAAATCATTTCATGAGTGGTGACAAAGAAAGGGTGCAGTCAGCCCTTGGGGAGTGGGTGAGTGGAACCCCAGTCTGGAGGCCATTAGTGGGTGGCAGAGTTTAGGAGAAAAGGTAAGAAGTTTCAGTCCTTGGGCCCTGTAGTAAGGAGAAAAACAGTACAGGAGGTTGTCACATTTCTGAGAAGTAGTCTTAGAGTGCCCTAGTACCCGCTTTGGATCCAGTTCTGTAAGGGTAGAGGATTCATTATTTCCAGGTAATCTTAAGTCTGTTCTGGGGAGAAGTATTACAAGATGGACTGGGAACTCAGCTGGGATCCTGAAGGGATTTAAATTATTGATTTCACCTGACTGAATTGCTATTTGTGTCACACCTCAGGACCCTGGAAACAATACACAATTTGCCCATTCATTCATTTATTAATTCACTCAACAAACTTGTACATCTGCCGTAAGTCTGACACAATCCTAGTTATCAGGGATGTAGATACTCAAAAGAAGTAAACCTAACCTCATGCATCTGTGAATCTCCCCATCTGAAAAGACACAGCCTTGTAAAGAAGCTTGTGTGAAAGTGCTAACGACATGCCAGGTGTTGTGGGGATGCAGGAGAGGCATGGTAAAGTGGGTTGGGAGGCAGTTCAGATGTCTAAAGGGGTCAGGCAGACAATGCAGATAAGTGAAAGGGGGTCAGTTGATGCACAGTGGGGACATCTGGAAGGCACCCATCCCATCTAAAGGAGGCAGCCTCTGAGAGGCTGGGGATCAGGTGTAGAAGGGAGATGTACTTTTCACTGTAGATCCTTTCGTATCTTTTAAATTTTGTTACTTAATTCAGAAAAACGTAAAAATAAAGATTTTAAAGTGAGGTAACCATTATTTGGCCCCAGCCTATTTTTTTCTTCTGGGAATGATACTTAAACTAAAAATTGGAATTTTTTTTTTTTTTGAGACAAAGCCTTGCTCTGTTCCCCAGGCTGGAGTGCATTGGTGCAATCATGGCTCACTGCAGTCTCGACCTTCCAGACTCAAGTGATGGTCCCACTTCAGACTCCCTAGTAGCTGGGACCACAGGTGTGTGCCACTGTGCCTGGCTAATTTTTAAAAAAGGTTTTTTTTGTAAGCGACAGCGTCTTCCATGTTTTGCCCGGGCTGGTCTTGAACTCTCGAGCTCAATTATCTGCATGCCTCCGTCTTCCAAGTGTTTGGCATCATAAGCTTGAGCACCCATGCCCAGCCGTAAAACTGAATTTTTAAGTGGAATTCTCCCAGTTTGAGATGTTGGCATATATTTAGAAAACACAGAGGGCTAAATATCTTCAGGGCCACCAGTTTAAAAACTTTGGCCTGGCCTGTCTCTTCCATCACTTATCATTCAGGGCAGATATTCTTATCAAGGTTCAGGTGTTTATACTTTCCTGGGAATATACTCCTCTTAGGGATTATTTATTTATTTTTGGTTTTTGTTTTTGGGACAGAGTCTCGCTCTGTCAACCAGGCTAGAGTGCAGTGGCACAATTTCTTGG